ATCAGCTATGCCTGGCTGGTGTTGCCAGAAAAGGCGGGGGGGCAAAGGGGGTGGAGACCTGCTGAGAACTCTGGCCTCCCTATTGGCTGGCTGGCTGGTGGCAGCGGCATCAATTATCCCAAACAAACAACTATTGGCTACAGTGCCTGCTTTTGCATTTCTGGATCTGGAGCATTTGCTGGCGCTTTGCCCGGAGTTCATGATCACGGGGGGGGGGGGCTCCCCTGAGAGCCACCGTCTCGCAGGAGAGACGAGATCGTAACAACCTGAGAGAAGCCGCGTCGGATCAGGCCAACGGCCCATCCAGTCCGACACTCTGTGTCACCCGATGGCCAAAAATACCAGGGGCCATCGATGTTGAGTTAGCGGGTCCACGGGTCAGGCTCCGCAGGCAGCTGCTTCACAGGCTCAAACTGTTGGGTGTTACAAGTCAAAACACTTCAGTATTTACAGGGTTGATGATGTTTGCTAAGTCACATGTTTGTTTGTAACCAATCTGTTTAGACAATAGGATGCCTGGGAACTTTGGAGCTAGTTTGCTAGTCTGATTGGAAACCAAGGTGTCAAGTATTTAGAATATTGGTTTCTCCTCCCTATTCTTTGTTCTGACTAGAGGAGGAGACGCCATTCGGCTCTTCCGGTTTTACCTTTTAGCTGCAAGGATGTAGGCATATTAGCTCTTTGTTATTTTATATCCTGTGTACCTTTTCCCCATGTTAGGTTTATAGTAAACTTTTATATTTTAAAACACACCATGGACTCAGTCTCTTACTACTTGGAGCTGCCCTGGGAGTTCTCCGCATTGATCACCACCCCATGCAGGGGCTGCTGGGAAGAGAGACAGCCAAAGTCTGAACATCAGAAGAGCCCTGCTGGATCAGACTAGTGAGGGTCCATCTAGTACAGCCTCCTGCCTTCTCACACAGGGGAGAGCCAGTTCCTCTGGAGGGCCAGCAACAGGGCAGAGAGGCTGAGGCCTTCCCCTCATAAGAACACCAGAAGAGCCCTGCTGGGTCAGACCAGGGAGGGTCCCTCTAGTCCAGCCTCCCGTCTCACACAGGGGCCAGCCAGTTCCTCTGGAGGGCCAGCAACAGGGCAGAGAGGCTGAGGCCTTCCCCTCATAAGAACACCAGAAGAGCCCTGCTGGGTCAGACCAGGGAGGGTCCCTCTAGTCCAGCCTCCCGTCTCACACAGGGGCCAGCCAGTTCCTCTGGAGGGCCAGCAACAGGGCAGAGAGGCTGAGGCCTTCCCCTCATAAGAACACCAGAAGAGCCCTGCTGGGTCAGACCAGGGAGGGTCCCTCTAGTCCAGCCTCCCGTCTCACACAGGGGCCAGCCAGTTCCTCTGGAGGGCCAGCAACAGGGCAGAGAGGCTGAGGCCTTCCCCTCATAAGAACACCAGAAGAGCCCTGCTGGGTCAGACCAGGGAGGGTCCCTCTAGTCCAGCCTCCCGTCTCACACAGGGGCCAGCCAGTTCCTCTGGAGGGCCAGCAACAGGGCAGAGAGGCTGAGGCCTTCCCCTCATAAGAACACCAGAAGAGCCCTGCTGGGTCAGACCAGGGAGGGTCCCTCTAGTCCAGCCTCCCGTCTCACACAGGGGCCAGCCAGTTCCTCTGGAGGGCCAGCAACAGGGCAGAGAGGCTGAGGCCTTCCCCTCATAAGAACACCAGAAGAGCCCTGCTGGGTCAGACCAGGGAGGGTCCCTCTAGTCCAGCCTCCCGTCTCACACAGGGGCCAGCCAGTTCCTCTGGAGGGCCAGCAACAGGGCAGAGAGGCTGAGGCCTTCCCCTCATAAGAACACCAGAAGAGCCCTGCTGGGTCAGACCAGGGAGGGTCCCTCTAGTCCAGCCTCCCGTCTCACACAGGGGCCAGCCAGTTCCTCTGGAGGGCCAGCAACAGGGCAGAGAGGCCGAGGCCTTCCCCTGAGAAGGACACCAGAAGAGCCCTGCTGGATCAAACCAAGGAGGGTTCATCTCATCCAGCATCCCGTCTCACACAGGGGGCAATCAGTTCCTCTAGACGGCCAAACAACAGGGCAGAGGACTTGGTGGGGGTGAGGATATCAGGTATAGCAGACGAGCAGGATTAAGAAGAGAGGAGAGAGAGAAGAAATTGGATTTATACCCCACCCTTCACTCGGAAACTCAGGAGTGGCTTACAGTCTCCTTCCCCTCCCCACAACGGACACCCTGTGAGGTAGGTGGGGGCTGAGAGAGCTCTTTCGAGGACTGCTCTTGAGAGAACAGCTCTGAGAAAACTTATGACTGGCCCAAGGTCACACCAGTAGCTGCCAGTGGAGGAGAAGTGGGGACTCAAACCCAGATCAGCGTGAGCACTCCTAACCACTACACCAAACTGGCTCTCAATAGGCTTGGACCGGAGCAACTCTGCAAAGGACTGCAATGCTATTGGCTCGTTGCTTGCGGCCTTCGTGAGGAATTTGTGTAGGGGAAATTAAAAGTTAAGGGCATTTTAAAAGATCCTCTGCGTAGGAAGAGCAGTGCAGAGGATTTGTGGGCAACTGAACTGCTCAGGTGAAGGTCGGTGGTCGGGAAATCAACACTGTGAATGAGCAGGGTAGGGATCTGGAACGGGAGAATATACAAGGGAATGTATGAGAGCACACATGGTTTCGAAACTATCACAAGCACAGAAGGAATGCCCATTTTATGTTTATTTTATTGGCCTCTGTGCCCTGTTGTTGGCCCTCCAGAGGAACTGGCTGGCCCCTGCGTGAGACAGGAGGCTGGACTAGAGGGACCCTCCCTGGTCTGACCCAGCAGGGCTCCTCTGGTGTTCTTCTCGGGGGAAGGCCTCGGCCTCCATGCCCTGTTGCTGGCCATCCAGAGGAACTGTTTGGCCACTGTGTGAGACGGGATGCTGGACTAGGTGGACCCTCACTGGTCGGATCCAGCAGGGCTCCGATGTTCTTCTCAGGGGAAGGCCTCGGCCTCTGTGCCCCGTTGTTGGCCCTCCAGAGGAACTGGTTGGCCCCTGTGTGAGACGGGATGCTGGACTAGGTGGACCCTCACTGGTCGGATCCAGCAGGGCTCTTCCAATGTGAACGTACACATTAAAATTATTGCTGTACATTTTCGGATTTAAATTTTCTTGGAAAAGGACCTGTTTGTCGCCATGTGGATGAAGAAGACAATTTTTGACCACATCTTTGTAAGGACTGGTCCTGGCCATTCAGTTACCGACCAGCCACCCTGAGGAATTGAGATGGGGGGGGGAGGTGGCTGACGACTTGGGGGGGGGCTTGCCTTTTCCAGCAGTGCTTAACAGCTGGAAAATAAGCAGATGTTGGCCCCCGGCCAGGGCAGCACTTCTCTGCTGGGAAGTTCACCAAAGGGGGAAGCTTCACCAGTTGGATTCCTGCACATTTCACACCTCATCTTTCCTATTCTACCTGTATGCTGAAACAGTCAAGAGGAAGTTAGAGCTGGAAGCGTCAAAAATCGGGGGTTCAGATTGGAGGAAGGAATGTCTTCGATATGCTGACAACACAACCCTCCTCTCGGTAACTAAAGAAGGCCTGGAATGCCCGATCCAGAAAATCAAGGAGGAAAGGGAGACGTTTGGCCTCTTCCTAAACATCAGAAAGGCCAAGTTCATGACCACCGAGAAGAAGAGAAACGTCAAGATAGCAGTTGACAATGAAGAGATCGAATGTGTGGAAGAAGTAACTGTCTTAGGATCACAGATCAACCAAACCGGCGAATGCAGTCCAGAAATAAAACGTTGCATTACGCTGGGTCACACAGCAATTATGAGCATTGGATCAAATATGGAAGAGGAAGGACATTGGCCTAGCAACCAAATGCAGAAGCAATGGTATTCCCAGGAGTCATGTATGGCTGCGAGAGGCGGACTATAAGGAAGGCCGAGCGCTGAAGAATAGATTCTTTTGCGCTATG